TAATAAACTTAAAAGATAGTCATTTAGGAATAATAGAAGAAAATTTAGCATATCAAAAAATTATGTTTACATGTTATCCAAAATATTGTGTATCATTAAAAAATAAAAATTTTAATGAAGTTTTAGGACTATATTTTAAACTTCATAGGGATGATATCGTGCAACCAGGTGATCAAATTATGACTATAGAATATAGAGCTTTATATACATTTACTAATTCTAGTTATGAGAATATTTATTCCAATAAACTATAGATTGAAGTTCATAAAGAATGTAAAGATATTAATAAAATAATATAACCAAACAAACAAATAAGTTTAATTCCAGAAGAATGTGAATTTAGTATAATAAAAAATAAACCTGAAATAACAGAATTAAATGAAGGAGAATGTTCTAATAATATCATATCTAAGGATGAAAAATTAATTAAAATATCAAAAAGTTTTAAAATACCTAATAAAAACCAGTTAGAAGAAATCAACAAAATAAAAGAAATAAAACTGTATAGGAATACTGGAAATATGAAAATAGAAAGAAAATATTATAATGGAAATATAAATGGACCAAATATATTAATAGATACAGAAGCTAGTGAATGTCATATAGTTTCAATTAGAAATAAATGACTAATAACTCATAAAACTGAACCATATAAGTATGTAAATTTTGATGGACAAGTATATATAATAGATTTAGAAGTTAAAGTACCAATAAAAATAAGAGGAATCGATCTTTTAGTACCATGTTACATAGATAAAAATATATATATAAATCCCCATATACTTTTTGGAATGAGTTTTCTAAATGGATTAGAAAATTATAGTATAAAAAGAGAAGGATTATATATTGTTCATAATGGATAAACAACGTTATGCAAAAAGAATTAGATGAATAATCAGATAAATTTTTCATTAGCTGTGTATATACAAATTACTATTGTAGAAACAAATAATAATAACTTGTGCTTTACTAGATACAGGAAGTGATATAACAATATTTAAAAAAAAATTAATAAAATTATGGAATAATAATAGTAATATAAAAATAACTGGTGTCACAAGAGAAAGTATTCAAATAATTAATAGTGTTGATAAAGTTAATATAATTCTTGGAAGTAAACAAGTAACAATAAATAAAATTTATAAATATGATAAATTAGAATGTGATATATTATTAGGAAATGACTTCATATAACAATTTCAATATTATAAACAAAATAATTATATGATAATGCTACAAACACGTTGTGGACATTTATTCAAAATTTCAAGAGAATTTAAACCTTATAGAGTTTAGCCAGTCCAACGTGGTGATGAATGGGAGAAAAAACTAATTATTTATAATGAAATAAAAATATATTATATAAAAAAGTTCTAAAAACAGGAATAAAAATGAATATAGAAAAAATCATTGAACAATTAGAAAATGTTTATGAAGAAAATCCATTATTATTTTGGAAACCACATCACCCAAAAGTCAAAATAGAATTAACAGAAATGTTATGATAAGAATAAGACCAATGATGTATACAATAGAAGATACACAAGAATTTAAAAACCAGATAAAAGAATTATTAGAACAAAAACTTATTAGACTTAGTAATGGACCTCATAGTAGTCCAGTTTTTATGATTATGAAACATTCTGAACAAGTTAGAGGAAAAATTAGGATGGTCATAAATTATAAAGAATTAAATAAATATAATAAATTTGATGATTACTTTCTACAAAATAAAGAAGTGTTAATAAATCTTGCAAGATGAAAACAATATTATTCTAAATTTGATTGTAAATCAGAATTCTAGCAAATAAAAATGGAAGAAGATAGTATACAATATATTGCATTTAGTACACCTCAAGGAAAATATGAATTGTTAGTTATGTCATTTGTGTTAAAAATGCATCACAAATATATCAAAGAAAGATGGATAATATATTTAAAAAATTTAATGAATTTCTAATAGCTTATATAGATTATATATTACTATGTTCTAATAGTAAAGAAGAGCATAGAAATCATTTAATCCAATTTATTAATGAATGTAAAAAAGAAGGAATTGTACTTGTTAAAAAGAAATATATAATAGAAAAACAAGAGATAGACAATCTTGGATTATCAATAGGTAAAAGAGTGATAAAATTACAGACTCATATATCCAAAAAGATAGAAAGTTTTCCATATAAATTAGAATCCAAAGAACAAATACAAAAATTCTTAGGATATTTAAACTATGCAAAAGGATTTATTGAAAATCTTTTTAAGAAAAGACATAAAATCCATGTTTTCCTTAGAAAAATAAATACTAAAGGATGGAATGAAGAACATACAGGAATAGTTAAATCATTAAAAGAAGAATGCGAAAATTTACCAAAATTAAGATTACCAGATGAAAAAGATAATTTGATTGTTAATATTGATGTCTCAGATAAATATTGGGCAGCATATTAAAAATAGATCTAAATGAGATTTGTAGATATTCAAGTGGAACATTTAACCAAACAGAAATAAATTATACTGCTCATAAGAAAGAATTACTAGCAATTATTAGAAGAATAAAGAAGTTCTCATTATTTTTATTATCCAAAAAATTTATTGTTGAAACTGATAATTCTCAAACTCCAGGATTAGTCAGAAATAAATTACCATCAGAACCCCAATACAGAAAGCTCCATAGATGGCAAACTTATTTAGCATTTTATAATTTTGATATAGTCCATATTAAAGGAGTTAATAATTTTCTTGCAGATTTTCTCAGCAGAAACATAGAATTTGCTGATGGATAAAAACAATGTCATAGAATTATACCAATATATCCTATATATACAAAAAAGGACATATTTTTTTAGAGAAGAATTCAAAGATATAAACTCTGGATCAACCCAGATCTCAGAGATGTTCAACTCAAATATAAAAATACTGTTGAATATCATTACCGAACATCAAAAATATGTCATAGAACTCAAAAATCAAGTTGATGCTATTGCAGCTCAATTAAAAGATATACTATCTAAGACAAATATATCAAAAAGCTCAGAAATGAGTTTTCCAAATTAATACCAAACAGTGACAGCTGGAAGCAGTTGTGGATCCAGACGTGACAACATACCAACTGATGATAAAGGAGATTTCATTTCTGTATCATCAACCAATAAAATTATGATACATGGAGATAAAAGAGATACCAAAACAATCAGCATCATAGACTAAGAAGATAAAATCCCTTTAGATCAAAAAGAAAAAAAATATGTCGAAGTAGTCAAAATCGTTTATGAAATAAAAATGTGTAATTCATATTTCATTTCTCTGGAAAATAATGTTTACTCCAGAATAACAGTTATGGAAGAAGGTGACCCTTCATTTATAAAAATTATGGCAGACTATGAATTCATGGATTTGATATATCGAGAAAGAGATTTTTTTGAAATTTCGAAATTCGATGACATATTCATTAAAGAAGTATCTAGATTTGCCAGAGGAAGAAAAATATTTTTGAAATTCTATTCAATAAATCTAGAATATGATGGAATTGTTTACTATCCAGTTGAACACATAATCTCAATTGGATATATTGCAGCCAATTTCCAAATTGATGTTACAGATAATAATAGAAAAGTCCCAACAGTGACAAAATCATGAGTCAGAAATAGAAGAGCACTTGGAATTAAAGCCATTTACAACATTGCCAAAAATTTGTTTGATAAAAAATTCTCGTGCTTATACCAATATGAAAATTGGATGCTGGTATCCAATGGAGGATGTGCAAAATCAGAAATTTTAAAAGACTATATTACAAGATTTGATATACATCAATTTTCAAGATGTCCTACCACTATAAAATAATCTTGCCAGTTAAGGGAGTGCCCCAACTTTATGTGAAGAAATGAAGAGGACAATTATAGAGCACCTTTGACAAAGGTATACAGCTGAATGTGAAGACATTGAAGATAAGAGTAATAATAGGAAAAGATATTCTTTGGTTAAAAAGTTGAAGCAACATGTAGGCCCAAGGAGGAAAATAATTGAAAGACAATAGTGCATTGTTGATGTAATCAATGATGTAATAGAGTCTCATAAACTTGTATAAATAGAGACATTATCATTAAAGAAAATCATCTCATCCTATCTTGAAATCTCGAGTTGTAAGCAATAAGCCCATTCCGAGATTGAAAAATCAGTTTTTCTAGAAATCCCTTTGTATCAAAATAGAAGTCTTATATAAATTATGATAGAAATAAAACTTCAATATTTTGATATCAATACGAGTTTCTAAATTTTTTTCCCATAAATTCTTAAAGGATCTAATAAAAAGTTTCCTTCTTATTTTAGTAAAAAGAGAGTTTTTTTAACAGAAATCTAGAATTTTATTCTTTAGAAGTTGATAATGTGAGAACAAGTAGTTGAAATAGTAACAATTTCGTGAAGGCAGGAGACCGTTGAAGGAAGTGTTTACAAATTCAGAGCTCGAAGGTTACTCGGTTCTAAAAATACAGGTCTAGATCAAACCTAAAGTAAAACTATTAAACTTTTGCTAAAATTAGAATGAATCTTTTTAAGATCTTAAAGAACCGTAGGGATCAATTACATGATGATTATTTTGATAAATGTCAGGTTATACAATTGAAAAATTAGATAATTTATTAGAAAGAACGTTAGAAGAAATAAAGAATATTATATCTCAATTAAAAAATATAAATTTACCATTTAAAGAATATGATATTTTACTTAGAAAATATGATATGTATGTTGCAGATTATTCCTATTTATTAGATCATAGAATGATTTTATATTCAAATATCCAAAATAGAGTACATAGAAGATAAAATGATTAAAAGATACATATATTGCAATATAAAAAAATTATTTCATTAAGAATAATATAGACATTTAAAAAAAAAATAGTGATAGATCAAATAGAAAAATCTCGAAAAATGAAAATAACCAAAATGTCCACCTTCCCGAACATTCATTTGTGCGGGTCCACTCTGGCGTATTATTTCAGCAAACACCTGTATATTCTACACACACGAAAAGAAGGGAGAGAGACAGACAGATTAGAGAGAGGCGCCGCCTATCGAACACGATAACTCAAATCTTCAAACAATGGATCCAGATGCAGTTGCCAGGGCATTCGTTGAACACTACTATTCCACGTTCGATGCAAATCGATCCGGGCTCGCTAACCTGTACCAGGAAGGTTCGATGTTGACCTTCGAGGGCCAGAAAATCATGGGATCGCAAAATATTGTCGCGAAGCTCACCAGTCTGCCATTCCAGCAGTGCCAGCACCAGATCACGACCGTTGATTGTCAGCCATCTGGACCTGCCGGCGGTATGCTTGTTTTCGTCTCCGGTAATCTCCAACTCGCCGGTGAACAACACGCGCTCAAGTTCAGTCAGGTACGTTTTCATTCCTTATGCATGAATCGGTTATATGTTCTTTGTGGTGATGAAATCGTGCTCCAATTTGCACTACTGAAATCATGCATACTTGTTGATACATTGAATATTGATTTGCAATAATTGATTGGTTATTAGTTCATTGATATATGATTTGCAGTAAGAGATTGGTTATTGGTTCATCAGTTCATTGGTTGACATGTAACTATTGTTGTAGAAGTAAATTGTGTTTTTACTTGAAGAACTGCGGATTATTTAATTGATGGGTGTGATGGGCATCATTAAAACTAGATACTGTTATTAGTGGTTTCTGTATAAATGTTGACCTCCGTATATATGATGGAGAACTTGGAATGTTTATAACTCATGAAATGTGGCATGGGATTAAAAGAATGTTATGAAGAAAGCATCAAGATGATAAATATAATAAAAATGAAGCTAAGTTGGATGCATAGTAATACTTTAATGAATAAGATAGGAAATGAGAATAGATGAATACAACTGTAGGTGATGCTAACTATGCAATGGTTGAGGGAAATGCGTCACTCTAGACGCCCCCTTCTAAAAGTAACACACTGCTAGCAAAACAGATTACAAGAGGGAAAGAAGACCAAATTCTAATAATATAACCATTAACAGTTGTCAAAGATTAGTTGTTTTGGCTTTGGAGCTTCCAGCAGGGATACTAATAATGATAAGAGTTTTGTTTACAGACATCAGAAGTAGATGCTTGACATGTCATCGTACAAGTTGTGAAATATACTACTGAGGGTAGACCATAACGAATAACTAAAATAATTTTAATTGTTGACAAAGATCTAATGTTTGGAGCTTCCAGTAGACACTAATAATGATAAAAGTTTGGTTTACATCAGAAGTACTTGACTTGCATTTTGCAAGTTGTGAAACATACTATTGAGCGAGTATTTGAGTTATGCATGGTGCATGGAAATATTCCATGGTATGAAATATAAGTTTATTGTGGATTAGTGTTCGAGTTTCACAAAAATATTTATCAAAATAATTGACCTGCTTTGGTGCTTGAATTTTCTGACTAAAGTTTAAGTTCTCTCAAAACAGAATATTAGATGTTCTTCCCTAACTGGGCCATGTGACCTCAGGTTATGAAGGTGGGAAAGACAAATAAACTTTGTCCACATGGTATGAAATATAAGTTTATCGTGGATTAGTGTTCGAGTTTCACAAAAATATTTTATTAAAATAATGGACCTGCTTTGGTGCTTGAATTTTCAGACTAAAGTTTAAGTTCACTTAAAATAGAATATTAGATGTTCTTCCCCAACTGGGCCACGTGACCTCAGGTTATGAAGGTGGGAAACTATAAGACAAATAAACTTTGTACTCTGTTTTGTCTCATTTTAGAATGTAAATCTGCTACTGGATGCATGCATGAACTCAATTTCATATGTGCAGTTGTAGCTGCAAGCACCCTTTACTTCTTCCACGTTCTTTCTCAGTATTGTTGGAAGCAGAAATGGCTGAATTCTCCTCTTCATTCTTATTTTTTGTAGGATAAGAAGAATCTTGACTATATAGTTTGGGATTACACGTTTTATATATGAAAGGCATAAATTAGATTTCAATTCATCTTATCATATCCCTTTATTTAAGGAGTTAAATGCCTGTTGGATTCGTTATGTCACTGTTATGTTCGTGCACAGGGCAGTGATGGAAACTTGGTTGAATTTTTGAAGTTGCCATTGTAGTCCTAGGTGCTTTAGGTTTACTTAGAGGTCTGTGTCTTAGGTACAATTAAGGAAAGTTCTAGAAATAAATTTGCAGCTCGAAGGGGGTCCATAAAGCTGTGTTCTTGTTGCCTACTTGCTCAGATACTGCCAACTAATAAGCTCTTAAAAACCAATCATACTAAAGTGCATTGTTGAGACACTTCAAAGATAAATTTGTGCAAATTGTGTTCCAGTACATTGGGAACTATTTCTCTTAAAATAAAGTATTATTTTGCTCGTCATTGTAAAGATAGGGGTGTTGGAAAAAAGATATGCAGAATTTATAGACTTTCGGGATCTGTCATAAAAAATTCTATTTTTTGATCACTGTTGTTTTAGTAATACAGTAAATAAGCATGCAACATTGTGTTATTAGAAAGAAAAATGCTTACGGTAGCCACAGACAACTGGGTTGAAAGAACCCATATTTGTATTACTTCCCTTCTACATTTTCCTGGGGTTAAAACAATTTATTTTCTGATAATGAGGCATGTCTTTTCTCCCTGTAATTATTGCCTCACCTTTTTACTTATTCTTGACCTTTTTCTTTCTTTCATTCTTGCATAGTTGTTCCATTTGATGCCAACACCACAAGGAAGCTTCTATGTGTTCAATGACATTTTCCGCTTAAACTACGCATAAGGGATGGTGCCTGGATATGGAAATTTTTCTGGGGGTGTGTGATGAACTGATCACATTGAAGTTAATATGCTTCTTGAGGTCCAAAGAAGTTGATTTACTTTCATCTACTTGGCTGTTTCCTTGATTATCTATTGCTATGAAGTTTTTGGACTTGTCCCCAGTTGAGATGGGAAGAATTGATTGATTGGATTCCTGAACCTGTTTGAATTTAATGGAATGAATTAAAATGTACCTTCTTCTCAATATTGATCATGTTGTAAATTTGGCCTTCTGAAGTTGCTTTCACATTTACTTAGTTAAAAGTGAACTGGGGGAATGAAGAGCTAATCCTGTTACACATCTGAACTTCACCTTAACTCCTAGCAGCTACGGGTGGACATAATTCCATCTAGTTCTGGTTTCAAGAGAATTGAATCATGTACCAATGATTTTTTGATAATGGAATCAAATGGT